TTTAACTCCCTCGCTAACGAGAGAACAAAGACTCGCGTTCGAGGAAAATGTAAATTATTAGAATACAATATCATGCTTTCTAGTTTAAGCATCGTAAATACAGATTTAACTTTCCGTCTCACAATTCAACAAAATGTCCAGAAATACCGGCAGTGATTTTATATTATTAAGAGTAAGTTTGAATAAGCGACAACAAGTGTTTTTTTGTAGACTCTTGAAAAGTGTTACATGTAATTATTTTGTTAATATGAAGGGTATATAGATCGAGTCAAAGAGAAACACCGAGTGACGTTCGCAATAATTTTAGCCTTCCTAAAATTTGAAAAAACAACATAGCTCTAGCATATTTTTCGCGGCGTATTGTATATTTTGTAGCTAAAAAAGTAGGATTTACAGAAGTCTTGAATAACGAGATAATATGTAGGGAATTTATTTCTGAGAAATATATAAAATAGTTTAAAAAAGATAAAATCAAAACGAATGTTATATGTAATTAATGGAAGTAGTAGATCTAAATATTGTACTGTTGTAGATTCATATCATTTTAAATGTGTTTAAAATTATATTTAAATGTTATCAAAAGTTTTATATTATTAATTTATGAATTGAAGGTGAACTTTTTACAGTTAAGTTGCAAAATCTGGGTATACAAAAATTATTTTAAATTCCATCAAGACACATTTATCTCAACGCTTAAAATTATCTGTTTGAGGTTACATATGCCTAACCACCCTCTGTCAATTCCGCAACTGGAATCATCCATAAAAAGCGCGAGGCATTTTTGTTACGTCATATATTTCGTAAATTGTTGTTGACGTAATAAAGTTTTTTTCGTCAGGAATCCATAAGCATTGTAATGTTGACAACTAAAATTGATGGGCCGTTCTTGAATTATGGATTTGGAACATGCTGAATTATGATGTGTTTCATTTACATACTTCATTTGCTAACCCAGATAGCTCCACAAATTGAACAATGTTTAAGAATGAGACGGATTATCAGTTTAAAAAATCTGGATCATCAAAAGTGTACTGTAGGAGTCATGTCATTCAGGATTTTTGAAGTAAAAAAGTCTACGGAACTGGATAGAAACTGGCAATGAAGAAATCTTCAGAATGCGAATTTGTCGTGACGTTTATAAAGTTCATAGGGATTCTATTCAGCTTAAAAGTAAGTGCAATTTCTAGATCTACTCCATGTGACTCGGTGTTTTTGTTGCTATACAATACAATACAATACAATACTCTTTATTGGTAAATCAGGTTACAAACATGGTAACAACATGACGATTTATCTAAAATATTAACAATATGTGGGTTAGATCATATATTAGTTAGCTAGTTATCAATTTAAGGTAAATGAGCATAATGTTGCGGGGACAGAATAATAAATACATTTAACAACAATGTTCATGTTCTTTGTCAAATGTGAAAAAAATAACAACAAAACAAAAAAACAACAACAAAAAAACAATAGTGACAAATAAAAATACAACAAATACAGCAAATGATGGTCATCAAAAATGCAGTCAAACCTATAGTAAATGTAAACAGATACCGTGGGAATTTTTATTTACTATAGTTAGCACTGTTGTACAGCGTCCACCGGATATAGTCGCTAAAAACACCGAAAACGAAAGTAGAAAGCTGCACAACGAGTACACCCAAGGTAATGTTTTAACTTATTTCTTCATCATAACTTCATCGATTTTTCCAAACTAAACAATATTGTGAAGCTAAATATGTCTAGTTTTAGAGTAGTGTTTGCTTTTGCCTGCAAAATAAATACTTTTTGTTAAATTGGTGATAAAATGTAGCGTATTTGTTGACATTTGCGAACGATGTTGATATTTACCACTAAATCAAACCCAAAACGCATTTGCTGTATCAAATCCGCCGTTAATACAAACTAGATATAGTCATCCCTCTACTTATATTTGAGTTTTCACCCTTCAACTCGAGCTGCTTTTAACAAAATTTGCGAAAAACTGCCTTGCCTTGTGTACAGAGTCTAGCACGGATGTGTACGGGGTGTAGATGAAAAACTGATAGCGATTGTACGGGGTGAAGTAGGTAAACGAATGTCATTTTCTGCAAAATAAATTCAGTACCAGAGCATATTAACACGAACGCTGATGAAGAAAACGATTTATGTCGGGATCTGGGTTTGTGAAGTGAATGATTTTAATTTTATAAAGGATGAAAACGTTTAATTAAATTGTCAACATGTTACGCAACATGTATATTAATTGCATTAAACAGTTTCCGTCCTGCTATACCACTTTTTATGCGTGACTATAAGTTAATAGGAAAAATGTAAAACTCAAAAGATCACAATTTCATTCCATATTTAGTAGAACATTATGAACAGAAAATTCTATTACTGGCTATAAAGTCCTTCATACTTTTTTGCAGTCAAACTCGGGTGACCTCACTTGTGATTTCGATATTGTTTAATAAATACAATGCTGCTTATATGCTGCTGTTTTTTCTGAAAATGATTATGATGACTCTTCAATGATGATGATGACGATGATGATAATGATGGTATTTTATGTTTTCATTTCAACATTGCCATACCAATGTACAGAGTGTACAGAGAGATATGAAACATTTAAAGAGTCTATTCGGCATCTTCTAAGTCGACTAATAGCTTATATAAGGCGGCTAAAACTGTTTTATAGAAGACAGTGCTTATGCCGTTTTGTAGAAAATGACACTCCTGCATAATCTTTAAATCAATTTTCGACCTCCTACCTTATGTGTAGGTTAGTTATACATGTATAAATATAAATATATCCCCTTTCGGAACATCTCCATTCAGCGAATTGGTTAGAAGACTCCTCAACATGTCTTATAAATACCGACAGACACTATTCAGCTGATGGTTGTGATGGTATGACAATAAAAATTAAACGCAGCTATACTGTTAGGCTCAAAAACACTAAAAAGTTAAAGTATTTACCAAATACAATGTACCTCTATTGTCCTCTAATCTATCCATGTTTATTCTGAAATGAGATTATTTTCAATTACAAATAATAAAAAGACTATACTTTAAAAAAATATGTGACTGCTAGACACCGTTCACATATACTAAACTACTACACCCCGTTCACTAAAATTTGTTTTCTTTGCTAGACTCTGTACACAAAGCAATGCCGTTTGTGCAAATTTTGTTAAAAGCAGCTCGCTCGAGTGTAAACTCAAATATAAGTAGAGGGATGACTATAAGTTGTGTAAATAGGCAAATTTTGATACAGCAAATGCGTTTTGGGTTTGATTTAGTGGTAAATATCAAGATCGTTCGCACATGTCAACAAATACGCTACATTTTTTCGCCAAGTTAACAAAAAGTATTCAATCTGCAGACAAAAGCAAATATTGTTCTAAAACTAGAATCATTAAGCTTCACAAAATTGTTTAGTTTGGACAAATCGATGAAGTTATGATGAAGAAATAAGTTAAAACATTACCTTGGATGTACTTGTTGTGCAGCTTTCTACTTTCGTTTTCGGTGTTTTTAGCGGCTATATCCGGTGGACGCTGTACAACAGTGGTTAGGCACGGTTTCCATGAATTTTCGTGGCATTTCATTGTTATTGACAGATTATTTTTTTTTAACAAGGTTAAGTGCATCGGGAAGAAAACAAAACAAAAAAGGATATTGCAAAAAAAAAGGATTATTAAACAAACTGGTATGTTTATTAATGCAATTTGAATTTCGAGCTCAGGATGTTATACTATGTATTTTCAAATATATAATTATTGTTGCGCACGTGTTTGAAACTATTATGCGGAGAATTTTCTCCAATTTACAGCCGACCTTTCTCGAAACGAAAGGGAAGGTTAACTTATTGGACCACTTGTATTATGTTTATTTGGACTATCTTTTAAATGTAGTCATTATTTCTCTTGAGAAAAGGGCGATATTTTTAAGTTCCTTGGTAGACTTAGAAGACATAAGTTGTGAAAATTTAAGCATATTGGGCCTATTGAAATAGTACGGTTTTATATAACGTTTCCTAGAAGCTAGGAAAAAAGGACATTTGAGAATATAATGAAACTCGTCTCCCAAATCGTTTAGTTGACAGTGTTGGCACTTTCGTTCAGCATGTGGGACAAAAGACTGCCTCCACCTGCCTGTTTCTATAGGGAGCCTGTGGTTACTTGTTCTTAAGTGAAAAAAGGTCATTCTAATCTAAGATAATTAGGTAATGCAATGAGGTACTGTTCGAAATTATTATCGGATTTGAATGATTGGTATGTCAGACCTTTAGAAGAACCTGTAAGTGAACTATTCCAATTTTGCAAGAATTGGTCAATTAATGTACGTTTTATTGTCATACTGAATTTTTTAAGATTGATATTCATTTGGTTTTCCCATATGTATGTGTTACCTGTATTATTTAAAATTTGTTTAATACACTCTGACCATTTAAAACTTGTGTCAGAATTGAGCATTATATCATAACATACTTTAGAAATTTTATTTCTGTTACCCATAACTAATTTACACCAATAATTTACCATCCTCGATTTAATGACTATGTCCATTGGATAGCGCCCAAGCTCTCCGTATAGCATATACACTGTAAAAACGGGTGTTTAAGTTTTAAACACATTTCGAAACACTTTTCCTGTTACACTTTGGAAACACTATAGAATGGAACACGTCACATGTTCACGAATAAACGCACAGATGTCCCGTTTTACACGCTTCCTGGTGTTTCAAACTGAAACATGTGACACGTTTCATAGCAGAACACTTGTAATGTTACAGTTTGGGAACACCTGAACATGTACAGTAAACACGTTTGGTGTTTCAAACTGGAACTTGCAACATGTTTCCAAACCCACATGTGCTGCTTTCAAAGTGTTCGTGATAAACATGTCACATGTTTCAATTTCAAATGCAATACGTGTTTACTGTATATGTTCAGGTAAGATCAAAACAACTAAGGAAATACATGTACAGCATATTTTAACTACAAAAAATGCTAATGAAGTATTTTTGGAATTTATTTATTATAACATTATACAGTTTTTTTCATTTTTAATTTAACATAATTCAAGAATACAACTTTGCTAAACACAAGCATGAAATGAGCTGTTAGAGCGACAACATGCCTGCACTATTCTCAATGCATTTACTCCGAAATGAGGCATAATTACCTTGAATGGGTATTGGTAAATAATATTTTCGTATCTAACACATGTACAAAGTTTCGGCTAAAATTCTATGACTGGAGATACAATTTTCACACAAAAAAATACATAACTTTATATGTGCAGAATTTTCTAAAAGGAACAACATTTAGTCAAAATGCAGAACAGAGTTATTGGTATTTTTATGTGAACTTATATTTGCATACACAAAATGGTGAAGTTCCAAATAAATATCAGAAGTCCATGGTTGCCTTTCTTTGTCTAAAAAACTTAACATTTTGTCATGCAACACTAATGCTATAATCAGCTGCCAAGCTATTGCCTTACCATTTTTTTAATAATCAAGCTAAAAATTATGACATCATCAAACATCTGTTGCAAGAAATATAAAATTATTAATTTGTACTAAAATAGCCAGATTTCTATTGGTTAAAATCATTCGCTTTTTATAAAATATATGTGTTTTTTCATGAAATATTGTGCTATTTATATAAATGGATTGTGCAACAGTCATCCTCTGTAATTAGCATAGATGATCAGAAGCAATATATTAATAATTCATGATCATCATTAAGTACAGTCTGTGATAAACATAAAATAAATAAATATAATAAAAAAGTATGTACTTAGTAACTTTTAATTTACTTGCAAACCCAAAAAAAATCTACAGTTAATGAAACAATTTATCTTTGTAACAAAACATAGGATAAAACAATTAAGGATTTACTAGTCATTAAATATGATGAGATGAAATCAGTTCTTCAAAAATACTTATGATGAAGAGTGTGAATAACATATAAAGGCATCATTAACGACTCTCAAAAAAGATTATAGTTAAGTAAAACATACTTCTGAGGAAGTGTAAACTGATAATTATCCAAATGAAATTAAAGTTCAACTTTTCCTTTTATGATAGCTGGATCATTTAAGTCACATTGGCTTCTTTTCTTTTCTCTCCATTTCCATGTTCATTCTCTTTAAATATTGAACAAATCCATAGCTCTTATGCCCATCAAACTGGTGCTGAAGTTCAGTTTGCTGAAGGAACCCACGCACCTGTGTATACATACATATTTTATTCATTGTAGCATATTAGCATAAGAAGTTATTGAAGAAATCCCTATTCATTAAACATGGTAATGATTCAAATTTTGAGGAAAAGGTTTTTTGAAATTGTGATTAAGAACACAAAATCACATAAAACTGGAAAACACGCAGTAGCATTCTTTTTCTGAAAGCACAATGTTAAGTGTGGATATTTATTTTCTTAGATAGATCAATTCGATTCTTTCCTATAAATAAAGTCTTGATGGAGATCTTAGTGTACTGAAACTGACATCAACAAAAACAAACATAAAAGTCTGATAGGCAAATCACATACACATAAACAAGTCAATGCAATTTTATGAAGGAAGTTTGAAGCACTCTTCACCAGTGGTGTGAATAGTGCAAAATGTCATTTTATAATGTGATGCCAGTGACTCCATTTTTCAATGAGCATGCGCATCAACCAAAATTTTGTGACTTATTATTACAACATTACATAATTGATCAATAGAAATTTAGCATTAAAAACAGAAGTGAGTCATAATAATTAAAATTTGTTGAAAATTTGTTTTAACCAACCTGTGAATATGCCTTTGAATAATCTAGGTCTGCAAGGTAATACAAATCAATCGACACAGCTAGGGCCCCTATTGAATCGGCTGTCTCTAGAAGAATGTGTGTACCATCACAAACAATAGCCATGTTCACAATACATTCATCTTTCTCAATTGCAACCAACTTTGGTGCCGACTCTGGTGCAGAAGAAAGAAGTCTCACAAGATTCCCACCATCTTCAAGCTGAAACAAATATCGATAATTTTTAAACATCAGTTTTTTTAAAAGAACAAACTGTTAGCATTTGTATAAGCCTTAGATATTATTCGAATTGAATGTTAAAAGCATTTTTAGCGTTATCATCAAGTGACAACTACCATGGAAATTTATTCTTTGTTAGAATAGTTTACCTACATAAATCAGTTTTGAAATAAAACTCGCATTAATTATTTATCAAACAAGTGTGCATGCTAATATGACATATGCTGATAATTATGGAAATAAGATGTTAAGGTATATTCCCTAAAAAGTGTTGATGTAAAATATGTACACAGATGTACAGACATGTCAATCACTGAATCACAGCTGGTCACATAAAAAAGAAGTTTTAGGACATCAAAAGTTTTGAATATCTAACACCCTTACCATAATTTTTTGCATCAAAGGCTGAGTCTTCTGGCCCTTTCCTTTTCTGTAAGCTGTTTCTGATTCTAAAGCCTTCAGCACTGCCACATTAAAGTCATCCTGAAAGCAAAATTATGAACAGACTAGGCTAACAGAAAGGTGCAAAACTTCATATGAATAAGTCACGCCCATTTTTAACGGACTTTTTTCAATTGCTTATATTCTCATTTTCATCAGCATGTGAATTCTACAATGTAATCTCATACCCTTATACAAGTCTTGAATCAAGATGCGATATTTATTTATTTATTATTTCAATTTCGATTTCAATTACGAATTAATTAGATAGCGAATAGTTTTAACACCAACTAAATGAAGTGACGTCATAATTTACATTGCAAATGACATCATCAATGTTCACGTCATACTATATCATGTATAATCATAACAAACAGGCTAGACGATTTTCTTGTTATCTTTACTTTGCCGGCAAGCCTTGCCCTTTCTAGTCCTTATCAGCATCGCCTGATAAAATTAATATCAAAAGACAGTAGCACGTTATTCTCTAGATCTATATGTTTTGACTCGATATTCATATAAATAACAAAGTGGGTGGGGAAATCAGTTTTATGGTTTTAAAATGAAAATGCTCTATTGCGCCCGTCTTAAAAAGATCTGCCTTTTCACTCTTTGAATTTGATCTACAAATACATAAGTACATCGTACTAACCTTTTGCTGTTGTTTTTTCTATGTTTTCCTTGCTAAATTCACGCAAAATGAAGAAAGGTAAAATTTCCTCCAAAAAATTCGGCTGCAGCAGGAGAAAGGAAGTTAAATTCGTAACACCTCGGATAATATCAGAAGGTGTTCTTGATCGGCACTCATGACATACGCAGAATGTTCGCCCCTGAAACACCGGCGTTTAATACAGAGACACTTTCTCATTAAATATTTCTTAACATTTGTATTGTCTTATCCTTACTGTGATGTTTCTGTTTACTGTTATGTTTCTGTTTTGTTTGTTATTAATAATCAAAACACGAGATGAGCTTATGACATAAAAGTAAACACAAACGTTTCATGTTTGCACACAGGCATGCCAATGTAAACACCAACCGTTTAAACACTGCACATTACTGTTTTAGTTATAAACACCCGTTCCATAAAGAAACGCATGTGTTTTTATACTGCACACAACGAGAACACATACGTTTTGTTAACAAACACCTGTGGAACGCGTCAGGCGTTACCATTTTTTACAGTGTATAATGGTGTACTTTTTTGCTTTTAGTAATAGTTCTTAGGAAGTTATTTTGTACCGTGTCAATTAAATCTAGATTTTCGAATCCCCAAACTTCGCAGTTAAAAGTAAGTATAGGAACAATAGTTTGGTCAAATAATTTCAACTGTAAATCAATTGGGATATCAAGATTAAATATTTTTGAATAAAGTATATGCATTGCTTTATTTGCTTGATTTACTAAATATTTTCTAGCATTAAGAAAACTTCCAGAAGATGAGAAAAGTACTCCTAAGTATTTATATTCCTTTATTATTTCAATTGGTTCGTTGTTAAGAAGGAAGCGAAAATTGCCGGGTTTATTCGATCCAAATATTATTATTTTAGTTTTACTTTTATTTATTGTAAGTTTCCATTTAGAGCAATATTCGTAAAAGTCGTTCAATAATTTTTGTAATGATTCAGAACTATCACTTACAATTATAGTATCATCCGCATATAGTAACACAAATAGTTTAAGGTAAAGGTCAGCTTGAATATTTTGTCGTTCAATTATAATGCCATCATTGGTTAAACCAAGATGCGATTCTAGGTCGTTAAGATAAATAGAGAATAACGCTGGTGACAAATTTTCCCCTTGGCGTACCCCACAGTTACTTTTAAAAAATGGAGATGAAATATCGTTTACAGAAATACATGATTTAATACCTGAATACATGTTTAAAATAATGTTATAAAATTTTCCATCGATCCCATTCTTAATTAATTTGCCCCAGAGGCCAGTCCTCCATATTTTATCAAAGGCTAAAGAAAAGTCTATGAATGCGCAAAACAATTTCTTTTTCTGAGATTTTAAAACATCTATTAAAAATTTAAGTGTAAAAATATGATCTGTTGTTGAGTAATTTGCCCTGAAACCAGCTTGGTTCTCTTTTAATATATTATTTCTCTCTAAAAAGGTAGACATTCTCTCATTAAGTATAGCAGTGAAGATTTTACCTAGACAGCTTAAAATAGTTATGGGCCTAAAATTTTCTGGGTTTAAAGGTGAGCCTTTCTTTTTATAGATAGGTTTAATGGTCCCAATAAGCCATGTATCGGGTATAATTCCCGAGTTAAAGATCATGTTAAAAAATAAACAATAAATTGGAAGCATTAAGTGTTTTGTACATTTTATATATTCATTGATAATATTATCTTGGGGGGATGATGCCTTTGAGTTCTTACATTTATTTATAACCTTATTTATTTCTACGGTAGTGATTGGGCAGTTTAAACATTCGGTATCATATTGTGCACTTTGGTCTGGATTTATGAATGAATCTTCATTATGACTTTCATCGTAATTAATTTTTCGAAAATGGTCATACAGACCTTGGATATCGGGCATTTTGTCGTGTGTATCTTTATTAAAATTCTTCAATATTCGCCAATAATCTTTCGGTTGCTTTAAGTGTTTATCCCTTAGTTTACGTTCATTCATAAATTTATGTTTACGGACGAATGAATTTATAGTGCACTTATAATGTTTACTTGCTTTGTTTAGTAAATGTTTATTTAGGTCACATTTGCTACGGTTATACTTTTTTCGTGCAATATGATATAATCGACGAGCTTTGCTACATGAAGGCCCGTACCAGGGTTTATTATTAGGTTGTTTTAAATGATTCTTTTTATTTGTTTTATTTTTGAAAGTAGCGAAAGCAGAATCCACAAATAAATTAGAAATGTTTTTTGCAATTTCATTAATTTCAAGTTTTGTCACATTTTGTGGATTACAGTGAAGAGAGTTTTCTATACTAGACAATGTAGTTTTATTGATATTTTCGACAAACTGACTGCTTAAAGATTCTTGCCATTTGGGAGGTTTCGTATTAATTGAACACTCGTTGGTTGCTTTATTTTGTATTATTTTAGTCGGATGTTCTGATATTTTAAGCGTAAGTGAAATAATGCTATGACCATCAGAAAATAATGAGTCAACTTCAGAGACATCAAATGACATAATGTGTTCTAGACAGTCTGTTGATGCTATAGCGTAATCGATTACGGAAGTATTACGAAAAGTAAAATTTCCTACGTTTCTATCATTTCCGACTCTACCGTTTAATATGAACATATTGTTATTTTTACATAAATCTAGAAGTTTAAGACCGGTTGAATTTACTTTAGAATCTTTAGAACATCTTGAAGCGGGGTATCCGTGAGCTAACAGTATATCAAGCGAGTTATAAGTATATAGAAAGTCATCATCAAAGCAAAAGTATCTTGCCAAAAAATCATCCATTTGCATGAAATCGGGCAAGTTTGCCGTGTGTGCATTGGCATCACCAATCAAAAGACAATGTTTAAATTCACAACATTTAGTTGACAATTCATTTTCAAAAACAAAATATTCGTCTTCATTAAAAAATCTTGATTGTATTGGTGGTATATAAACAACACCTATCAAAATATTACAGTTTTCTAGCAACACATTTTTTAAGTTTATCCAGAATACATATTCACAATCATTTGAAACAATTTCGATTCTGTCTGCAAATAAAGTTTTAACAAAAACCCTGCTTATTTTTCATTGTCTCATGCATTGCAACTAAAATGTTACATCTTGTAGATCCAGCTTTGTAAAATAATCATGAAACGACCCCAAGAACCTCATGTATATTTTAGAAACATGACACGTGCTTTCTCCCGTTCATCTTCAAATGAAGAGTACTTCGGCAATAGCTACGGAAAATAAACAACAGAGATTTACCATAGAGAAATCAAAATTTGCTTTTACAAGAAAAGTAGACATTTTAGAAAAAAATCCTGAAAAATCCCGAGGGTGACTTTTTTCTAGTTTACAAAAATAGTTTAATTTTTATTCCACCTCGTTTTATTAATTCATACCAGGCAAAAGTTCATTTCCATTTTTAATGGGACAGACTATACTAATAGTGTAATAATACTTTGACGCGACGTCTTTTGCGTTATGTATAAACATAGCGTTTTAATAAATTAGATATAGTAGATACAACTTAATATATTGATAATTCATCCTCTATATTGATAAGAAAGAGACATGTTTAGAACCGATCTTGTGATTTATGTTAGTATATATTGTAAAATTGTTTATATATGTATGACGATGTATGATTGTACAAGTCAAAAAATAAAGTATCTGTTCTGTTAAAGCGCGCTAATGTTATAGCGCGTCAATAGAGGCTCGCATAATATAGAGGATATTTGTTTACGGAATACATTTCACCGAGTGAGCACCAAAAGGTATATTTCAGTGGCGTTTGGTGTTCACGAGGTGAAATATATTTCGATCTTAAACTAAAGAATTTTTTTTATTATATGCAAAGAAACGTTTAAAAAGACATTTTAACCTAGTACTAAATGAAAAGGGCGCCAAATAATAATACAACGTGACGTCCATTTCGGAGGAAAAAAGTGATTAATTTTAATTAATATTTAATAAATATATGTATTTATTGGCTAAAAAATGCAAAGATACTTCCGCTTCCGTTTTAGGAAGTAAACAAATAAAAATGTAAAAATAAAACTCGTCAATAAACCACTTTTATCAAGACTTGGAATTCTAGAAATGGATGTATGTGTCAATTGATGATTTCTACAATAAGATGGTATATTTTTAACGGAAACTGAATTTTGCTTTTTGAAATGAACGTTTATAGACTTTTTCATTTCATTGTTATTGACAGATTATTTTTTTTAACAAGGTTAAGTGCATCGGGAAGAAAACAAAACAAAAAAGGATATTGCAAAAAAAAGGATTATTAAACAAACTGGTATGTTTATTAATGCAATTTGAATTTCGAGCTTAGGATGTTATACTATGTATTTTCAAATATATAATTATTGTTGCGCACGTGTTTGAAACTATTATGCGGAGAATTTTCTCCAATTTACAGCCGACCTTTCTCGAAACGAAAGGGAAAGGTTAACTTATTGGACCACTTGTATTATGTTTATTTGGACTATCTTTTAAATGTAGTCATTATTTCTCTTGAGAAAAGGGCGATATTTTTAAGTTCCTTGGTAGACTTAGAAGACATAAGTTGTGAAAATTTAAGCATATTGGGCCTATTAAAATAGTACGGTTTTATATAACGTTTCCTAGAGGCTACTGTAGGAAAAAAGGACATTTGAGAATATAATGAAACTCGTCTCCCAAATCGTTTAGTTGACAGTGTTGGCACTTTCGTTCAGCATGTGGGACAAAAGACTGCCTCCACCTGCCTGTTTCTATAGGGAGCCTGTGGTTACCTGTTCTTAAGTGAAAAAAGGTCATTCTAAGATAATTAGGTAATGCAATGAGGTACTGTTCGAAATTATTATCGGATTTGAATGATTGGTATGTCAGACCTTTAGAAGAACCTGTAAGTGAACTATTCCAGTTTTGCAAGAATTGGTCAATTAATGTACGTTTTATTGTCATACTGAAATTTTTAAGATTGATATTCATTTGGTTTTCCCATATGTATGTGTTACCTGTATTATTTAAAATTTGTTTTATACACTCTGACCATTTAAAACTTGTGTCAGAATTGAGCATTATATCATAACATACTTTAGAAATTTTATTTCTGTTACCCATAACTAATTTACACCAATAATTTACCATCCTCGATTTAATGACTATGTCCATTGGATAGCGCCCAAGCTCTCCGTATAGCATATATAATGGTGTACTTTTTTTGCTTTTAGTAATAGTTCTTTGGAAGTTGTTTTGTACCGTTTCAATTAAATCTAGGTTTTCGAGTCTCCAAATTTTGCAGTTAAAATTGAGTATAGGAACAATAGTTTAGTCAAATAATTTCAACTGTAAATCAACTGGGATATCAAGGTTTAATATTTTTAATAAAGTATATGCTTTTCTTTATTTTCTTGATTAACTTAATATTTTCTAGCATTAAGAAAACTTCCAGAAGATGAGAAAAGTACTCCTAAGTACTTATATTCCTTTATTATTTCAATTGGTTCGTTGTTAAGAAGGAAGCGAAAATTGCCGG